TACAATGAATCTTACTAATTGTCTCGAAGTAAACACACACAGATCTAAATGGATTGTGAAAACATGCAATTAAGTTTTATAACCTGCATGAACTGTACCACTGTAGACAAGAAGAGCATTTCACTCTTCCATGGAAGATGTGTTCATTTAATATCACATACCTGCAAGTCCCTCCCTAGAAGCTCATTGCTAATAATCCCTTCCTTAAATCACTTGTTAAAGCAACTGCTCAAGAAGAAATTTCTCGCCTAGCTGGTAGTAATAATCTATTACAAGTTATATACACTGATGGATCTAAACAGGAGTCTTCTGGTAGGGCTGCATCTGCTCATTGCCACCTCCCTAGTTAAGAATGATAAACTTGTTGAACTAGTCTTAAAAATAAACAACTGGGTGTTTACACTGCAAACTGAATTGTTTGCAATGCTAATGGCACTAGAGCTAACTTATGACACTGAGCTTGACTCTATCATCATTACCGATTCTATGTCATCACTGAAGGCTCTTGACTCATATAATGACTCCAACAACATGCTCATTGGGGAAGCCAGGTATAGATACTAAAAAATCTGTTACAAAGGAATTAATGTACAATTGTTATGGATCCCATCACACATTGGATTACTCCTTCATGATGAAGTTGATATGTTAGCCAAGAAGAGTACCCAGAAGGAGAATGTAGAATATGACTTTGGTATATCTGTGTCTAACATTTGGAATAATAATAGGAGAGAAGTAAATAATGAAAATGATTGTTAAAGGAATGCAGTTAGAAGCATGAGTAGATCTATAACCCACTATGATAACATGAACATAGATAAGTATGTTTATGGAGCAACTTGCAATGTGAACAGACTGACTGATGTTGTAGTGGCCAGGCTTAGGCTTGGTTACAAGTACTTCTGGCAGTTTGGCAGACACAGATGATCAAACTAAATGCAAATTATGTGATCAGGCATATGGTCACTGTCTTGAACACTGTGCTTAATTTTCCACTTATTGAGGAATACAGAGATAGACAGTATAATAACTTATGTGACATGTCAAGATATCTTATTAATGAAAATAAGATACAGTACCAAATATACTAAGCAAATTTCCTAAATTTGCTTGTAACAGATAAGTGAACTATAGATTTGTAGATATAAATCCATATAAGAACATAAGAAAGAAGGAACACTGCAGCAGGCCTACTGGCCCATACAAGGCAGGTCCAAGTCTCCTACCGGCTTAAGCCGTCAGGTCACATTCACTTAAGGAAGGAACACGGCAACTGACCTAGTAGCACAAACTAATCAGGTCCAACTCGCACCCACCCACACCCACTCATGTATTTATCTAACCTATTTTTAAAACTACACAATGTTTTAGCCTCAATAACTGTACTTGGGAGTTTGTTCCACTCGCCCACAACTCTATTACCAAACCAGTGCTTTCCTATATCCTTCCTGAATCTGAATTTTTCCTACTTAAAACCATTGCTACGAGTCCTGTCTAGGCTAGATATTTTCAGCATGTTATTTACAGCCCCTTTATTTATTCCTGTCTTCCATTTATACACCTCAATCATATCCCCCCTAATTCTACGCCTTTCTAGAGAGTGCAGATTCAGGGTCCTCAGTCTGTCCTCATAGGGAATATTTCTGATACATGGGATCAACTTTGTCATCCTCCTTTGTATGTTTTCCAGAGCATTTACGTATATCCATTCTGTAATACGGTGACCAAAACTGTGCAGCATAATCTAAATGAGGTCTAACCAAGGATATACGGTGGACCCCCGCCTTACGATATTAATCCGTTCATGAGAACGCGTCGTAAGACGAAATTATCGTATGGCGAATTAATTTTCCCCATAAGAAATAATGGAAATCAAATTAATCCGTGCAAGACACCACAAAGTATGAAAAAAAAATTTACTACATGAAATATTAATTTTAATACACACAAACTTAAGAAGACATGCACAATTAATACTCTGCTAAGAATACAATACATGACACTTGCCTTTATTGAAGATCTGGTGATGATTGATGGGATGGGAGGAGGGGAGTGTGTAGAAGTTATTGTTTAGAAGGGGAATCCCCTTCCATTAAGACTTGAGGTAGCAAGTCCTTTTCTGGGGTTACTTCCCTTCTTTTAATGCCACTAGGACCAGCTTGAGAGTCACTGGACCTCTGTTGCACAGCAAATCTGTCCATAGAGGTCTGTACCTCCCTAAAATGGGCCACAACATTGTCATTGTAATAGTCACCAGCACAGCTTGCAATAGCTGTGTTAGGGTGATTTTCATCCATAAAGGTTTGCACTTCAACCCTCTTTGTACACATTTCCTTGTTTTTTGAAGTAGGCGCAATGGATTCCACAGCTGGCATAGGCTTCTCAGGGTTAGCCCCAAACCCTTCAAAATCTTTCTTAATTTCCATACTAATTCTCACCCTTTTTACCACAGGGTTGGCACTAGAAGCTTTCTTGGGGCCTATGCTGACTTATTTTGCAGCTGCAATCACTAAAAACACTGTGATAATATGAAATGTACCGAATGTATGCGTGGATGTGATCGCACTGGATGGCTTGTAAACACTGGCACCCACGGGGCAGCTGAGGCCACGCGTGGGACCCATCCCGGACAAATCGCGTGAGGCGAGGCAAAATTTTTGCGTTCAAATGTATTGTATGGCGGATTTAACGTAACGCGATGCCATCGTAAGGCGGGGGTCCACTGTATGAAGTTGAAGAACAATCTCAGGACTCCTATTATTTATGCTTCTTGATATGAAGCCAAGGATTCTGTTAGCTTTATTGCCAACACTTATGCACTGGCTGTTGTCTTGGTTTCAGATTACTGCTAACCAGAACTCCTAAATCTTTTTCACAATCCGTAATATTAAGATTGACATTATTTAGTTTATATGTGGCATTTTCCTGTCCAACATTTAGAACTTTGCATTTGTCTATATTAAACTGCATATGCCACTTCTCTGACCACTGCATCAGTCTATTCAAATCTTCCTGGAGTGCTCTAATGTCCTCGTCAGAATGAATTGGACGGCCTATTTTGGTGTCATTGTCAAACTTGCTTATGTCGCTCTTTATGCCCTCATCAATGTCGTTTATGTAGATTGTGAACAACAGGGGGCCTAACACTGACCCCTGTGGAACACCGCTCGTGATGCTTCCCCACTTCGATTTCTCCCCATTTATGCAAACTCTCTGCTGCCTATTTGTCAACCATGCCTCTATCCAGGAAAAATTTCTCCTCCTATTCCATGTGCCTTAATTTTCCTTAATAGTCTCTGATGTGGGACCCTGTCAAAAGCCTTACTGAAGTCCATATACACAATATCATATTCACTACCATGATCTACCTCCTCAAATACCTTAGTGAAAAAAGTTAATGAATCATAAGGCTGAGATTCATTGATTAATTTGTGCTTTTCAAGGTGGCTACGAACTGCCTCGGCAATTATTGATTCCATAAATTTTCCCACTATAGAGGTTAGGTTTATTGGTCTATACGTAGTTCGAAGCTAAGGACCTGTTACCTGCTTTGAAAATAGGTATCACATTTGCCATTTTCCACTTATCTGGCACCATGGCAGTCTGTAGTGATATATTGAAAAGATTAGCCCAATATATTGAAAAGATTATGTACTCCTGTTAACCCTTTGGGGCCTAGTTCCTAGGCCTTTTGTGTATCCATATGCTCTTACACTACCGTCCACAGGGTGGATATGGGGTGCACAGTAAACTAGCCACTTTGGTGGCAAAATCTAAATCTAATCTACATATATGCTGCTATGTATGATAATCTGTGTAACTATTTGTGTATACCTGAATAAACTTGCTTGCATTAAACCTGATCTTCCATTCCTGGGCACTCAATCACCCTTGTTGGGTTAGCTCTTCTTTTAAATATAATATTAAGTATTTGTAGTTCTTGCATAAGCAAACTTTTAAAAAAAGAAAGTGAAATTTACAGATATTTTTACCAATCAATGTTTTAAATTTCTATAGTCGTTGAAATGAGGGAAAGATTTGTAGGCATTTATTATGGGTTATATAGATTTAACCTAGGTTGAAAGACTACTTAAATAAATCCCAGGTTTATTTAAGTAGGTTGATCCAACTTTAATATATTTAAATGCCCTGGAAACTCCTTGCATTATGAATCTAAAGAAATACGAGCTAAAAAAAAAAAAAGTGATAACATATTTTATTTTTTATTTTTATTATCACACTGGCCGATTCCCACCAAGGCAGGGTGGCCCGAAAAAGAAAAACTTTCACCATCATTCACTCCATCACTGTCTTGCCAGAAGGGTGCTTTACACTACAGTTTTTAAACTGCAACATTAACACCCCTCCTTCAGAGTGCAGGTACTGTACTTCCCATCTCCAGGACTCAAGTCCGGCCTGCCGGTTTCCCTGAACCCCTTCATAAATGTTACTTTGCTCACACTCCAACAGCACGTCAAGTATTAAAAACCATTTGTCTCCATTCACTCCTATCAAACACGCTCACGCATGCCTGCTGGAAGTCCAAGCCCCTCGCACACAAAACCTCCTTTACAGCAACCACCCAGGGAAGTACTACTGTCCTGCCAGATGACTGTGAAACAGAAACCTGTAACTGTTTTGCATGATGGTAGGATTGCTGGTTTCTTTTTCTGTCTCATAAACACGCTAGATAACAGGGATATCTTGCTACTCCTACTTACACTTTGGTCACACTTCACAGACACGCACATGCATATATATATACATACATCTAGGTTTTTCCCCTTTTTCTAAATAGCTCTTGTTCTTCTTTATTTCTTCTATTGTCCATGGGGAAGTGGAAAAGAATCTTTCCTCCGTAAGCCATGCGTGTCGTATGAGGCGACTAAAATGCTGGGAGCAATGGGCTAGTAACCCCTTCTACTGTAGACATTTACTAAAAAAGAGAAGAAGAAAACATATTTTATGTTGTGTAATTTAGTTTTTTAGACTTTATATACATGTATATTGTATTGCATATTTACAGAACAATGAGTGAGCGTTTGGAACCTGTTCCAGAGGTAGATAAGATCTCCTTTTCTGGAGAGGAGGAGAAGGTTCTAGAATTGTGGAAGAAATTGGATGTTTTTCATTCATGTCTAAAACAGAGCAAGGATCGATCAAGGTAAATATTTGACTGCTCCGTAGGAAAAAGTTGATGAATATTTTGTTTATTGTGATGCTGCAGTGAATGGAAAATAATTTTGGGAAAAAATATTTTAATGGTGATTTATATAATGGATGAAAGGGAAATAATCTTTAAAAAAGTGCTTTTGTTGGAAGTTCAATGTGAAGGAAAGAATTTGCACTAAGTCTTTCTATCAAGTTAAATGTTTTTATTTTAAGATGGGCAAAAGTATTTGACTTGAAATTTTAATAGAAATCTGAAATATTTTCTAGTAGCCTTGAATTCTGAGTGTGATAATGATTTGTTACAGTTATAGCCATGTGATGCTAGTTATTTAAAAAAAATTACTCTTACAGTATACAGTATGTACTGGTATAATGTAAAGCTTTAAAGTTGTGCACAATACTTTCCTGTCGTATATTGTCTAATCCTTTTTTAAAACACACACAAAGAAGTAATGTTCAGGTTCCCTGAACACCCTAGTTTATAAACTACTTTTCATATTATGTTTTATCCTTCCAGTTAATCTCATTGCAGCTCACTCACTTTGTTTTAGTTATTTTCTCATTTCTCACAGGCACACTGTTCACTTACAGGTGTCTCTTTGTTCCTAATTTTAAGTGCTGCTTTAACTCATTCATTTAAGAAATGCATTTGTACTGTTTACATTTAACTCTTTTGTTTTAATAGATTCACATTTTATGATGGGCCTCCATTTGCTACTGGTCTTCCTCATTATGGTCACATCTTGGCTGGAACCATAAAGGATGTGGTGACGCGCTGGGCTCACCAAACTGGTCATCATGTAGAACGTCGCTTTGGTTGGGACACTCATGGTCTGCCAGTGGTATGTAATAGTCTCAATTTTTTATTTCTTCATAGCGATGGATTTTTAACTGAATGTTTCTATTTCTTGTTTAAATTATCTACAAATGTTTATTTATGAATGAGTTTAAAAATATTTAATTTTTATCATATCTGTTCTTCATAGGAATATGAAATTGATAAAACACATGGAATTAATGGCCCTGAGGATGTTGCAAAGATGGGGATTAAGAAGTACAATGAGTTGTGTCGTGGCATTGTTATGAGATACGCCAGTGACTGGGAGACGATTGTATCTCGTTTAGGAAGATGGATTGGTAAGTATAGTATACTACTGCATATACTGTATTATTAAAAATTCATCTCTAATGAAATTATAGTGATATATAAAAATTGTGCTTGCACAGATTGAGAGTAATAATGATCTTCAGTTATAAACTTTTTATGTATTGGTGCTTGGACTTGCATTTTATTTGCAACTGTTAATGATGGCATAGTCTTAGTCTGGTGGTCTAAAGTTTGTTAATATACAAGTGGTGTGTGACTAGAAAAAGACCTGTTTTCTAGGAAAGGTGCATATGTACCCCCCTCCATTGGGTGCTTACCTGATTTAGAGCTCAGCATTTCTTTCAGCATAAATGGTGACTCTCCCCTTTTGTCTAAATTTGTTGACATGGATGACATGGAGCAAATTACGGGTATGAATTGTGTTGTGAAAGACTAGTTTTACTTGCTTGTTATTTTTTGTACAGTAATACGAGTGTGTATTGGTCATGGCAGGAGTAAATTAATAATAGTGAAAATTTGATGTTTGAAGTGTTAAAAGTGCTGAATGACCAAGTGGTTCTAGTGCTTTGTAAATAACAAACAAATGGTATTACTGTTTGTACAGGTGTTCCTTGAATTATGATATTTTGACTTTACGATGGTGCAAAAGCAATGTGAGATGAAACTTGAAATAATTTTCCAGTATGAAGGCAGCAAGTCCGTAACTTGTATTCATTTATTAACTTTTCAGTTCAGGTACTTAGTTATGGTAATTATTTATTTATTCATTCAGTGAGAGTAGTTATTTGTTTATTTACTTATTTAGTATATTCAATTTACAATGGGTTTGTTGGAATGTGACTTCATTGTGAGTCAAGGAGCACCTGTAATGTCATTATCAATGATTATATAGGTACACTCTCTCAAGCCTGGGATGCTTGAAATATGAAGTCCTAAAAAACCAGACTTACTTAAAATATTCCCACATTTTGCCTACTTGAAACTCTGTACTTGTTGTATTGTGTCCCATAGTTTTTATTTGCTGTTTTCAATCTTATCAAAAGAGGTCTGATAATAATAAAAAAAGCTAATTTCTTTTATAAAGATGGAGTTGTTGAGGAAGTTGCTTTGATATGAAAGCTAAGTGAGGAGTATTCTGTATCTAGTACTGTACTTCTTTGAGAGTTTAAAGGGCTATGACATCTCCAGGTACAGTGCAAACCCCTACTACTAAAGTTCAGTATCTCCTAACTGACATACTGATAAATAATTTAAAGAAACAAAATTAAAGGAAATTTTTTTATAATTTATTCCTAATGTTATGCATTGTTGCTCGTTCTTCATACCTTGTATACTTACGTGATAAAAACAAACCTATGTTCTGGAACCACGCATACCACCTGATGGCACTGCTTGTTTAGTCTCCTTGCCAGGTTTCTCCTGACACATTGTAAGAGTGAGAGAGAAATAGGAAAGATGGAGGCCATTTGGGGGAGGAGACAAGATGAAGAGGACAGCCAAAAAGGAGAGCAAAAGGGAGGGAGGGCTGATACTCATTTGAGATATATGATACTCCATTAGTGGTTCGAAACATTGAAACAGACGCTGATGTTATGGCCCAGCAACCAGTTCTCTTAAGGCTGGCTTGTTATTACTGAAGCATATGACATCAGTATCTTTATTATTATTTTTAACATCATTTCTCTTCCACTGAGGTAGGATGATCCGGGAAAGAAGAGACACTTTAATCCTCATTCATTCTATCACTCTTGCCAGAGGCATGTCAGCATTACAGTTCAGATGACCCTCCAGATTGCAGCATCTCCATCCATCATTCAGAGCAAAGGCACTGTACTTCCCACATCTAGGATTCGAGTCCTGCTAACTGGTTTCCCTGAATCTTTTCATAAACTAAAAAAAAAAACCACTTGCCTCCACTCACTCCTATTTAACATGTTCATACATTCCTCTTGCATATCCAATCTCCTTGTGCAAATAGCCTCCTATACCTCTTATCTCCAACAGTTCCTAGGGCAAACCCTACCCCTTCCCTCCACTCCGTTACCTTGTTTTGCTCGAACCTCTCTAAATGTCCAAACGATTTCAGCAACCCCTCCTCAACAAAGGCAGTACAGGTGTAACAGTCAAAGCCACATTTTCTACTGCTGGAACTCTTAATCATTGTCTGATAAACTTGACCCACATTTGTGTTGGTCAGCAAATAATTTTACTAATACATTTTGTATATGTAACTAGGCCTGTGATGAAGTACCAAATTTTATTCATCCCTCAAACTCGGTTGCAGTTCCAAGATTCTGGGTGTGAATGCTTGTACAGTTGATGTATTCTAATTTGAACCCATTTTCTTATCTCCTGAAAGAATAAAATGGTCATAATACTGTGACAAGAACAATACAAAAATTACATTTTGGAAATGGAAAACTCTGACAATGTTTTGGACAGAAGTGTTGTCAAGTCTCTCCAAAGTGCGGGTTATTTGTGTAACTTATCTTTCCCTTTTCAAAGGGGTATCTTGATGTTCATTGGCACTTGATCCAAGGAATTTTAGTCACCTGTCCCTTGGATCAAGCCTGATTATATACTATATCACATATTATATGTTATCAACAAATTTTGTTGAAAATAAGAAAAAGATTTGGAGTGAGATTAACAAGTTAAGGAAGCCTAGAGAACAAATGGATTTGTCGGCTAAAACTAGGAGAGGAGAGTTATTAAATGGAGAGTTAGAGGTATTGGGAAGATAGAAGGAATATTTTGAGGAATTGTTAAATGTTGATGAAGATAGGGAAGCTGTGATTTCGTGTATAGGGCAAGGAGAAATAACATCTTGTAGGAGTGAGGAAGAGCCAGTTGTGAGTGTGGGGGAAGTTCGTGAGGCAGTAGGTAAAATGAAAGGGGGTAAGGCAGCCGGGATTGATGGGATAAAGATAGAAATGTTAAAAGCAGGTGGGGATATAGTTTTGGAATGGTTGGTGCAATTATTTAATAAATGTATGGTTTTTAATACTTGACGTGCTGTTGGAGTGTTAGCAAAGTAACATTTATGAAGGGATTCAGGGAAACCGGTAGGCCGGACTTGAGTCCTGGAGATGGGAAGTACAGTGCCTGCACTCTGAAGGAGGGGTGTTAATGTTGCAATTTAAACTGTAGTGTAAAGCACCCTTCTGGCAAGACAGTGATGGAGTGAATGATGGTGAAAGTTTTTCTTTTTCGGGCCACCCTGCCTTGGTGGGAATCAGCCAGTGTGTTAATAATAATAATAAAAAAAATCACATTTCCCAGGAATTGTATGACCCTTATGGGTTTTGAGATTCCTAATGACTATAAAAATGTTCTCTTGTTCATTTGGTAAATCATAAAATTTTGTGTATTTTAGCAGGCATTTGCTATGAAGTTGAATTTCTCAAAAAGGAATAAAACAAGCCTTACAGCTACCACAATCTTTTCTTTTTTTGCATTCTTAGATTTCAGAAATGACTACAAGACCCTCTATCCTTGGTATATGGAATCTATCTGGTGGGTGTTTTCCGAGCTGTACCAAAAGGGTCTAGTGTACCGTGGCTTCAAGGTAATGCCATTCTCCACAGCTTGTTCTACTCCCTTGTCAAACTTTGAGTCTGGTCAGAATTATAAAGACACCCAAGATCCATCAGGTAATTGTTGATATTTTATCATGTCATTCTGCTGAACATATTGATATGGGTAATAATGACAATATTTATGTAAGTTTTGTTGAAAAGAAAATTTAGGTCTTTTGATATTTGATGAAATTTAATTTAAATTCAAACAGTTGCCAAGATATTTCAGAGCAGATTTTTTAAATGAAGTTAAGTGACCCCTCTGATTTGTTTTACCCTTAGTTGTGATCAATTTCCCTATACTGGACGAACCTGAAGTTGTTTTTGTGGCATGGACAACCACCCCATGGACTCTTCCCTCAAATTTGGCATTGTGTGTGAACCCAGAAATGGACTATGTCAAAGTTAAAGGCAAAGTAAGTTTAAATATATAATTCAATAGTAAGTTATGTAAAATTTTACCTTGAGAAACAAAACAGGTATTTAGTTTCTCTGATTGCTTATAAATTTTGCATTGATTTAGCTTTACAAATACGTATATATTATGCAAATAAGGTTAGTTTTGGAAGTATAGTTGGGAAAATAAGAAAGGGATTGTAATTTACATGAGAAAATGCTAATTACAGTGGAACCTCATTTTTTGTGATTAATTCGGTCCAGAAAGTCTGATGAAATCCGAATTGTATGAAAACTGAAGCAATATTCCCCATAAGAAATGTAAATACAATTAATCTGTTCCAGACACCCAAAAGTACAGTGGAACCTCTACTTACGAGTTTAATCTGTTCCCTGATGTTGCTCGCATCTGGATTTGCTCGTTTGCAGAGTCAATTTTTCTCATTTAAATTAATTGAAATGCAATTAATCTATTTTGACTCTTAGGAGGCACGACAAGATACTTCAATATTTCACTAATATCATCTATACGGCTTATTTATCTATCCCAATTCATCTAATATGACATAATAAACAATATAAGTAACAAAGAAACTTGATATATACTCTAAAATAAATGAAAAATGTCATTGTGACAAGTGGAGGTGGCCACAACCGCTCCCACATTGTTGTGGTAATCACTGCCAACTAGTGAGGACCTTTTGAAGCAGTCTATTATTATAGTTACTATTATATAGTACATTATTATTATTATACATTTATTATCATACATATTATATTATACTGTTATTATTATACGTATTATTATTGTTATTATTATATTCTTTTCTTTCTTTCAACACACCGGCTGTATCCCACCTAGGCAGGGTGGCCCAAAAAGAAAAAAGTTTCTCTTTTTTTAAATTTAGTAATTTATACAGAAGGGGTTACTAGCCCCTTGCTCCTGGCATTTTAGTCGCCTCTTACAACACACATGGCTTACGGAGGAAGAATTTTGTTCAACTTCCCCAGGAGATAAGAGGAAATAAATAAGAACAAGAACTAGAAAAAAAAATAGCAGAAACCCCAGAGGGGTGTGTGTATATATATGCTTGTACATGTATGTGTAGTGTGACCTAAGTGTAAGTAGAAGTAGCAAGACGTACCTGAAATCTTGCATGTTTATGAGACAGATAAAGGACACCAGCAATCCTACCATCATGTAAAACAATTACAGGCTTTCGTTTTACACTCGCTTGGTAGGACGGTAGTTCCTCCCTGGGCGGTTGCTGTCTACCAACCTGCTACCTAGGTATTATTATTATTGCGATATAAATACGTAACTTGTAATTTTTATTCACACAAAAAATTGAAGATTTACTGTTATGCAGACTACTGCATTATTGTAATAATTGCATAAATAATGTCAACCCATTCATGACTGCATATTGGAATGGACAGTGATGTCATTTGTTTACTCTTGAACATCGCCAAAGAATCGAACATTTCTGCCACTTTGAGCTCAGTTTCAAGGTACTTTTCATTGTGAAACCAATCAAAATCATATCTATTTCTGTCATATATCTTCCATTCTATCAAATGAGACCAAAAAAACTAGAATACTACAACCATAAAAACCATACGAAAATACCACTAAGGGGCGGCTAATGGATGAGAAGTGAACTCCGTTTTTTATGGTCCGATTTCTTTCATTTTTGGTGTACATTAAGAAACGTCTTTCCATCACACATTGTCCTAGTTTCAATAAGATAGTCCAACAAACAACCGAGATCCAATTCCCTAGATTAAGAGCAAGAACCCCTCGCCAGCGTCAAGGCCTGCTCGCATCTGGAAATTTTGCTCGTGTCTGGAAGCAAAAAATCGACCGAGCAACTGCTCGTATCTGGAAAAATTCATACGTGGATGCATTCGTAAGTAGAGGTTCCACTGTAATAACAAAAAATACATTTTATAGAGAATAACTATAGTTTTACTACAAAAAAAAAAAAATATAAAATACAAGAAATGATAATGAGTTTTTAACTCCTTTTTTTTTTAAAACTTTTTTTGGGTTTAAGACGGCAAAAGGGAAAGGAAGGTTAATTTTTGAAAAGGGGAAAACCCCTCGGGCCATTTAAAAGGGCCCTATCTGATTTTTTCCCCTTCTTTCGGGGTACGGAAATAAGGAAAACCCTTGGTCACTGGACCCCGCTATAAAAAAAATTTTTAGGGGGATCTTTTTTCTTTTCAAGATTTCCCAAAAAATGGAAAGGCATTTCATTAACCTTTTAGAAAAACGCAAAGTTTGTTAGGGGAATTTTTCTCCAAAACTTTCATTTTCCACTTTGAAAATTCTTTTCACTGGAAGGACACTTCCTCCCCTTTCCCTCTAAAAATTTCCTCAGGGGTCTGTTCTTTTCCAATACTATTTCAATTTCATTGAATTTAAAAAGAAAACGTGGAACCCACTTACTTGAAATCCAATAACAGTTTTTCCAGAAACAACCTCTTTGTTTTTTTTCTTCCGAGAATCCCAAAGGGGGTTTCCTTTGTTCTTGGGGCCTTATTAAATTTCCCCTTGTTTGGGATTTCATTGAAAACCCGGGGCCAATTAAGAAAAGATTTTTTTAAAAACCCAAAATAAAGTTTTGGCCTAAAAAATGGGTTTCATTCTTCAGTCATTCCCCCCCCTTAGGGGTATTTTTCTAGGGTTTTTGGTTTCCTTTTTTTTTTTTTTTTTTGTTTGAAGAAGGGAAAAAATTTTACTACAAAAAATAGATGCATTTTGATTGGTTTCACAAAAAAGCCCTTGAAAACCCAAAGTAGGAATGTTTTTTTGGCATTTAAGAAAAAAAATACCCCCGAATACCCTTGTTTGGCACGTAAAACATTTGAAACTTTTAAAAGTGCAAAATGGGGAGCAGAATCATGAAAGCACGGAACGCCATGAAGAACCCCAGAGAAACCTACGCATGGAGAAACAACTGAGGCACAGGGGCAGAAACAACTGAGGCAGCATGGCAAGAAAAACGTGAGGCAGCGTGGCAGAAAACAACGTGAGGCAGCATGGCAAGAAAAACGTGAGGCAGCAGTGGCAAAAACAACGTAGGCAGCAGTGGCAGAGAACAACGTGGGGCAGCAGGGCAGAGACAACGTAGGCGCAGGGCAGAGAGCAACGTGAGGCACAGGGGGGGCCAGAACAACGTAGGCAGCATGGCAGAGAGCAACGTGAGGCGCAGTCAGAGGGGCAACGGAGGCAGCAGGGGCAGAGAGCAACGGAGGCACAGGGGCAAGAGCAACGTGAGGCGCATTGGCAGAGACCCAACGTGAGGCCAGGGGCAGGGCAACGTGGGGCGCAGGGCAGGGGAGCAACTGAGGCAGCAGGGGGCAGAGAAAAAACTGGGGCACGGGGCAAGAGCAACGGAGGCAGAAAGTCAGAGACAACGTGAGGAGCAGTGCAAGAGCAACGTGAGGCAGCATGGCAGAGAGCAACGTGGGGCGCATGGCAGGAGCAACGTAGGCAAATGGCAGAGAGCAACTGAGGCGCAGTGGGCAGAGAGCAACGTAGGGCAGTGGCAGAGAGAAAGGGGGCAGCAGGGGCAAGAGCAACGTGAGGCAGCAGTGGCAAAAGCAAGTGGGGCGCAGGGCAGAGAAAACGTAGCAGCAGTGGCAGAGAGAACGTGAGGCAGCAGTGGCAGAGGCAACGTGGGGCACAGGGAGGGGAGCACGGGGCCAGTGGCAAGAGCAACGTGGGGCAGCAGTGGCAGAGAGAAACGTAGGCAGCAGTGGCAAGAGCAACGTGGGGCAGCATGGCAGAGGCAACGTGGGGCGCAGGGGCAGAAGCAACGGGGGGGGAGCAGTGGCAAAGAGAAAAACGGGGGGGCAGGGGGGCAGGAGCAACGTGAGGCAGCAGTGGCAGAGAGCAACGTGAGGCAGCAGTGGCAGAGAGCAACGTGAGGCAGCAGTGGCAGAGAGCAACGTGAGGCAGCAGTGGCAGAGAGCAACGTGAGGCAGCAGTGGCAGAGAGCAACGTGAGGCAGCGTGGGGGAAAAAGCAACGTGGGGCGCAGGGGGCAGAGAGCAAGTGAGGCAGCAGGGCAAGAGCAAGTGAGGCAGCATGGGAGGAAAATTTTAGGCAGCAGTGGCAGAGAGAAAAGTGGGGCAGCAGTGGAAAAGGCATCGTGAGCAGCAGGGGGCAGAGAGCTCGGGGGCCCCGCAGGGGCAGACCTTGAACCTTGAAAGCAATTTTGTTGTACCCTATACTTTAAGTGAGTTTCCAAATGCCACCCCGCTCGCCCAAATCCACTACAGTGGAGGGAAAATTTCCTCTGTTTTCCTTACGTTTTGTGCATCATTTCTTGTTTCTAACCATGGGTCCTAAGAAAGAGGTGCAAAGACAGTGCTGAAAGAAAAAGAGGATTTCCAGGGAAATTTAAAAGCTGAAATTGTAGAAAAAACTAGGGGGGATTTTAAAGGATTTGGGCCCGGGGCAGTACCCGTACCACTTCACGTATGTGAATCAAAGCAGGAGTCGGTAAAAAGTGCAGCATTATGAGTGTAAATTATAAGTCACTCTTTTCTGATTTTTTTTTTGGGGTTATCCTAGGTTAAAAAACATAAGAACAAAAGAATTGGGAACACGCGAAGGCCTACTGGCCCATACGACAGGTCCTTCAAAACGAATCTACCAAAAGCACTCAAAAAATAATCCCGACCCCTTAACAAAAAACAAACCCGCCCCCCCACTCATATATTGCCGCCCTTTCTTAAAGCTACCCGGGCCCTACCCTCTATCACCCCATGGGAAGACTGTTCCACCATCTAAAACTCGTTAAAAAAACCGTACTTCCCATGTCCTTTTAAACAAAAATTTTTCCAACTTAAACCCCCTTTTATTCCGGTTTTTTACCTGGTTCGACACCCCAAAACTTTATTAATGTCCCCTTGTTTATGCCCGCATCCACAACACTTAAATGATATCTCCCCCTCATTCTACCCTCCCCCAGAGATGGAGATTTAAGCTTTAATCTATTTTCAAGGGG